TATTAGGTATTAATTCAATCACGAGCTCACGCTAATGGAAAGTTTCCTTACGAAGAAAACTGTTTTTATCCTATTTTTAGATGATAGTCACGCCTGCCGTGCGTTTCCTTTTTGTAGTTTGAAGCAATCATTTCGTTTTGGATCTTTTGAGAAACGATTTAACTTCTTCAGAATCCTGATCCCCTCAATTTCGAGAATGTTTTACAACAAACTTGAAGACTAGTATTTTCAAATGCAAAATCGATAATAGATAATCGATAGTGATTTGTTGTAGATTATAAACGAATTCTACTATATTCTGTTGCAGTAATAAAAAGAGTAAACGAATCTGAAAAGTGTACAATCAATATCATTATCAATGTTCAAATCAGATGCTAACGCAATTGACATCAAACTCCAAAACTGTTGTCCTTTTTTTGGATAGGAGGACGTAATTTGTCTGCTACCATTCAGGGAAATACCGACGATAATGTCAATTTCTGAATTTTGCATAGATGCTTATTTGCCATGGATGCATATTCATATCGAAGAACTTGACTAGAACTTTGGTAGTTTCCCCTTTCTGCAAAACCCTATTTTTAACAATGAATTCTACTTTTCAAATTACAGGTGATATGGCATCAAAATCGTATGCAAACATTTTGGATTTGGATCCGGATAAGCTATTAGACATCCCTCAAACTCCCAGATCTCTTCCACGTGTCATGACCATACCTGGAATCATCGCCGATAGCAACAACGACTCCAATTCCGATAAAACTTGTCGAGAGAGAAAAATCATAGTAGCAAACATGTTACCTTTACACATTCAACGCGATCCCGACACTTTAAAATTGACCTTCACTTTTGATGAAGATTCACTTTTATGGCAATTAAAAGACGGATTTTCTCCCGAAACTGAGTTTATCTACATCGGTTCACTCAAAGTGGAAGTAGACGCAACAGAGCAAGAAGAAGTTGCTCAGAAGCTTCTAGATGAATACAATTGTGTCCCCACTTTTCTTCCTCACGACCTTCAAAAAAAATACTACGCTGGTTTCTGTAAACATCAACTATGGCCTCTCTTCCATTACATGCTCCCCATGTGCCCGGATCACGCTGACCGATTTGACCGAGTTCTCTGGAAAGCCTACGTGTCAGCAAACAAAATATTCGCAGATAAAGTCATGGAAGTTGCTAATCCAGAAGACGATTACATCTGGGTTCATGACTACCATCTTATGATCCTCCCCACTTTCTTGAGAAACCGTTGTAACCGAATCAAACTCGGTTTCTTCCTCCACAGCCCATTTCCATCTTCAGAAATCTACAGAACTTTACCTGTTAGAGATGAAATTCTTAAAGGACTTTTGAATTGTGACCTAATCGGATTCCATACGTTCGATTACGCCCGACATTTCTTATCATGTTGTAGTCGAATGATGGGTCTCGATTACGAATCGAAACGAGGTCACATTGGACTCGATTACTTCGGTCGAACAGTCTACATCAAGATTTTACCTGTGGGGGTCCACATGGGTCGGCTTGAATCCGTTTTAAACCTCCCGATTACATTAAGAAAAGTTAAAGAGATCGCCGAGCGTTTCAAAGGTAAGAAGCTTATAGTCGGGGTTGATGACATGGACATTTTCAAAGGTATAAGTTTAAAACTACTCGCGTTTGAATATCTCCTACAAATTCACGTCTCCCTTCGTGGTAAACTCGTTTTAATCCAAATTGTGAATCCCGCAAGAAGCACCGGAAAAGACGTACAAGAAGCGAAACGTGAAACGTATTTAATTATAAACCGAATCAACGAAGCGTACGGTTCGCCGGAATATTCTCCGGTGGTTCTGATCGACCGGCCGGTCGCGCGCTACGAAAAGTCGGCGTATTATTCGATGGCGGATTGTTGTATAGTGAACGCGGTCCGAGACGGGATGAATTTAGTCCCGTATAAATACATCGTATGTAGACAAAATTCGCCAATTTCGGACGAAAACGCCCGTACAAGTATGTTGGTGGTGTCCGAATTCGTAGGGTGTTCCCCGTCTTTAAGCGGGGCTATACGGGTCAACCCGTGGGATATCGAATCGGTTGCTGTAGCTTTAAATTCGGCTATAGTTATGAAAGAATCGGAAAAGCAGTTGAGACATTTAAAGCATTATAAATACGTGAGTTCACATAATGTCGGGTATTGGGCGCGTAGCTTTTTGCAAGATTTGAAACGTGCATCGAAAGATCATGATAATAAACGGTGTTGGGGGATTGGATTTGGTTTGGGTTTTAGGGTGATGTCGATGTCCCCTGGTTTTAGAAAGTTGTCCCCCGATGCTATCGTGTCCGCATATAAACGGTCGAATAAACGCGCGATTTTTTTGGATTATGACGGGACACTTGTCGCCCACTCATCGATCGTGAAAACTCCAAGCGCGGAAGTTATTAGAATTTTGAATGCTTTGTGTAACGATCCGAAGAACACGGTGTTTATCGTGAGTGGAAGAGGGAAAGACACGTTGAGCGATTGGCTTGCACCGTGTGAACAGTTAGGTTTAGCGGCGGAACACGGGTATTTCATGAGGTATTGAAATGTCGTTTTTACCCCTCCGGTTATATTAATATTATTAATTTAATGATATGATGATATGTTTGTTTGTAGGTGGGGTGGGAGTTTGGAGTGGGAATGTGGAGTGGTGGGTGGGGATCTTGAGTGGAAGGAGATAGCGGAACCGGTGATGGAACTGTATAGGGAGTCAACGGATGGGTCAATGATCGAGGTGAAAGAGAGTGGTTTGGTGTGGCATCATCAAGATGCGGATCCGGATTTCGGTTCGTGTCAGGCTAAGGAGTTGTTGGTTCATTTGGAGAACGTGTTAGCCAATGAGCCGGCTTTGGTTAAACGGGGACGACATATAGTTGAAGTAAAACCTCAGGTAATGAGATTTACATTTTTGGCCCCTTGGGTATATCTGATTTTGCAAATTTGGAAACTGATTGATTTGGTTTGGCAGGGTGTGAGTAAAGGGTTGGTGGCGGAGAAGGTAGTTTGTGGGATGATCGAGAAAGGGGAGGCCCCGGATTTTGTATGCTGTATTGGGGATGATAGATCTGATGAGGACATGTTTGAAAGCATAATGAATATGATTCCAAATTCAAATACAAATACAAATACAAATAGTAGGTGTGGAGAGGGAGTAGAGATATTTGCTTGTACAGTTGGAAGGAAGCCAAGTAAAGCCAAGTATTACCTTGATGACACTGTGGATGTGGTGAGACTGCTGTCAGGGCTTGCTAACGCTTCGGATCCTAAGCCTAGTAGTAATCCCGCTAGCTTTCAGGTTACTTTTGATGCGGTTTTTTGAGGAGAGGCATATCACGTGTACATGTACAGTTTTGTTTTTTTTTCTTTTTGAAAAATGATAACTCTTTCTTTTACTTTAGTTAGCTGGGTCTGGGTGAGAGGTGTCAAAGCTGTTTGGATGCCGGTTACGTTTGTTTCTAGTGGAGTTTTGGTTTTATAAAAACACAAGAGTGCACAGTTTTTTTTTTTTTTTTTTTTTTTTTTTTTTTTTTCATTAAAAAGTAAAAAGACTTTCTAACATCGTAAGTACTAAAACCATTGATCATAAACTTTTCTCTGAAAATAGCTTTTGCATTTGTACGTATGTGAGTGGGTCTAATGTCGATGGGATAGAGACAGATTGCAAAATTTTGACTTTCCTAGGCCTATTAGATTTTGAATTCTTTTATTGGGGACCGTTTTCAAGAAGTACTGAAAGCGATTTATCTAGGCTCAAATGTGAGGGAATGAACATGTTTTCCTCAAATCTTATAGTTTTATTGTCAATCATGTGATTAACATATTAAGAGTAAATTTTATTTTGAAATGTCGACTCCTTAACGGCCACCTAAAAAAAATCATCTCATATAATAACTGTATATCTTCGGTAATTGAGTATATATCTACGAATTTTGATGCTAGTAATTTTCCAAAAAAAAAAATTGAAATTCAGACAAAACGTTGCTAAAAATCATTCTATAATTTTTTTCAATTTCAAATTGTTTTTTCTATTTTATTTTTCTCTCTCTTGCATCTTATTCCCAACTATCATCTTTTTTCAAAAAAAGTTCAAACTCGACCCAAAAACGTCAAAGAACAGGTTCAAAAATCATGAACAAGTTTGAAATTTTCGAACTGGATTTTTTTCGAAACACATGAATTCTCGAAACTACTAGAGACAGAAAAAAAGGGGGGAAAAAACAAAAATTTCGAACTATTTTATCCTGAAAAGCAATTTCTAAACGACCTTTCTGTCAAGAGAATGTAATTTTGAAGATTTCATATTTTTAAATTTCGAAAATATCTGTCAGTTTTGATACTTGTCTTTTATATTTTTAAAATAATAATATTCATATGTTAATTTTAGATTTTTTTAAAATTTAAAATTAAAAAACCACATAATACTTATACTATATATATAAACTATTAAATGTAGTAAATTGCAATTAATAAATTTTTTTTTTTATTTCAAAATTTTATTTTAAAAAATACTTATTGCTTATATTTTATTATTTATTATTTTTTTAATCCGACTCGTATTCACTATTCGAGACAAGTTCTTTTGAGGTGACCATTTAACGTCAACACCTCTTATATATTTGGATCTCGAGTATATTTTAGTCCCTAAAAATTTCTCTTGCAATACAGGTCTTTCTTTAAGACAGGCACGTGATACACCTACCTTAGTCCTTAAACCCAGGAAAAATAAAAAACGATTTTTATAAGAAGCTCCAAGATGGGCGATAGGGCGATAATCTGTATCCCGCTCTTGTGCACTCCACCAAATGCAAATAGAAACCCTTTTATATAATAGTAAAAAAAATCCAAAATACTTTTCAATAAAATAGGATAAAATACTTGGTAAATCACGTGCACGAAGACGTTTGGTGTCTTTTGTCTTTGACCCATTTCCTCTTTATCTTATTTAACATCGTACTAAAGCTAAAACACTTTAATATAACCCAAATCTGACTTAACTCATTATATAAAAAACATGTACATTTTTCATATGGTAAATGACTATGCTAATATGCTATAACACCATATACCAAAATACAATCAACAATCCATGCATGCATGCAATAAGAAATAGAAAGCCATCATTCATACTTTTTACATAACATTTCATCAAACTTTCAACACATTAACAAGTAGACAAAAGTAGCAAACCAGACATATGACTTACAAACAAAACTAAACTAAACTAAGAACTAATCCCCCATGATTCAACAACAGATGAAGTTGTATTACTACTTTCCACAAAACCCTCAAAGTTAGCATATATCTGCCTATCTATCTTCGACTTCTCTTCATTTTTGACACCATAATCCAACAAAGGTTTAGGGTTTTTAAGGGTAGCATCAAAAGTAACTAAATCCTTCAACTCGTTAACTAAATCGTGGGTTATGGATGTCTCGTTGTTACCTAACTCATCTAATAAAGACACAGTTGCCACACACGTAGGTGCCACGTCATCACAATCTAACAAAGACACAATAGGTTTTACAGGGGTAGGTGGAGGTCTAATGATGTTAAGCCCAAACATTAGAGAGATTTGAGAAAGAGATAACCTCAAAAGTCTGTTTGGAAGCTGTGAGAGTTTATGGCTAACAATTGCGCTTCTGGTGACGAAGCAAAAGGTCGCCACTTGTTTCTCCAGATTGATTAGGTAATGCTTCCATGTCATGCTGACCTGGCCTGATGTTGTTTCCTGTCTACAGAGTTTCATTAGATTCATGAAATAGCAACCTACTTTTGTTTACTTTCAAAGTACAATGCTATTGTGGTATATCAAAGAAGCTTACATGAGGAAGGACATAAGGACGAATAGCAAACCCGATGATCAACCCAAAAATACAAGCAACTATCACCCCTATACTCCAAGCTGTGGTGGACCCCACTCCTGAAAATGGAAGTTTTTTGAGAATTGTGACAAGTTTTTTGGCTCATAAGATTCTAAGAGATTTACCAGATCCAGAAGAACTGCCACTACAATCATTGGGATTGAGATCAAGTTGTCTGACTAATCTATTGCCATGATCAGAGATCAATAATGCACATCTTTGAGGATCAAAAGCCAATTCAAAATCATCAGAGAATGAAGCGTTTTGTGCAGGTCCATCTGCTTTTCCTGTCTTTTGTACATACCCTCCAGCAATTGTGGTCACGCCTGTTTGATTGATAAAATGGTTGCATTTGCAAAAGTCTCGTGAAAAAAAGTGATAGAGGAAGATGATACTTGTGGTGTCGATGTAATGTATACCTGATTTGGTTATTTTCCTTATGACATGGTTGGTTTTGTCTGCAATGTAGATGTTGTTTTTCCTATCAAGAGCAAAGCTTTTGGGCTTATTGAACATGGCAGATCCCAAATCACCATCCTTGTACCCAGCAACACCATTACCAGAGAGCTCCTTCATCTCACTCACTGCAAACAATAACAATCATATCACACATTTATACTTGCAGTGTCTGGTTGAGAAAATATGTGAATACATGCAAAAAGTAGAAATAGATAAGCAAACATTCATCGCATTGCATCATGTTATGGACACTTTCACGTTCAGAGAAGTGGTTTTCTCATCCGTCAGATGGCATGATCATCAATAAGTTTTCTTTCTTGATTTTCTTACATAACTATTGTCATTTTCTTTGTTGTTGGTTCTGGCATGAATCTTGTTAATTCTTGCATAAGTAATAAGGTTTTTCCTCATCAAATTTGCAAGTTTCACTTTCTAGGACAGCTTGGTCATTGGTAAGTTTTCTTCATTGGTTCTAACCTTGTTGATTCTTAGGGTATTGAAATTCTCGATGGAAACGCGTATTCCGTTCTCCAAAAGAACTGCAATTCTTTATGTTTTGAATCCAGAATAAATAAATGTAACGTTGTTACATTATATTGTGGAATTTGATCGTTAGTGCGACAAGACTTCTATAATCGTTGATGTGGAGTATTAAACAGGTAAGCAAAATCATAATTCAACTAAAATCGATACTCCGTTTACTCATACCTTGAGAATCGGAAAACGAGACTGTGTAAAATTTACTTTTAACGGAGTCGAGAATGATCAGATCGGACGATGATCCATACAAGGAGAAGACAGAGTAAGGGTTAATGTGAAGCTTGTCGCCGTCGATAACTGTCGACACAGTGTAACCTTCCTCGAATACAATCTCGTCACCAATTCCTGAGGAAATTTATTATTGTAGAGAAAATTTGTAAAAACACCAACTAAGACACGAGGTTTTGAGATACTTTACCTTGAACTGTATTGACAAGAAGGATGATGCCGATGATGAGATGAAAATTTGCAAACGAAGCCATGGATGATGGGACTGCAGAACGAGGGTAAGTGACAAAACAAAGGGGAAAGTGAGGCTGCTGATGTTGAAGGAACTGATAAAATTATGTATATTGAGATATTGACAAAACAAGAAGGGTGGTGCTATTTGGACAATAAATTCCTATATTAGCTTTGCAAATTGTGAAAAAAAAAAAAAAAAAAAAAGGATAAAACTTAAAAAATATCCGGTGATTTTTGAAAATATCAAGTTTAATTCCTAAGTTCAAAAAACCTCACAGATGATCCATGTGGTTTCAAAACTTTTAACATTTAGTCATTCCAGCTCACTTCGTTACCATTTAGCCATTGGGGGTATTTTTATCATTTCAATACCCAGGGATTATATTTGAAGATTTGCCTTATTTAAAATATATATATATATATATATATATATATATATATATATATATATATATATATATATATATATATTTAATATTAATGGGTCCCACCCTCTCTCTCTTTCTTTCTCTCTCTCTCTCTCTCTCTCTCCAGGAATGTCGACCATTTCATCTTTTCCTATGAAATCCCCCACCTCCCGTTGTTTGTTTGTCCCAAAAAATCAAGAACATAACCATATATTGTTGCATCTTCAAAATCGTCTTCAACTCCGACTTTTTCGGTTACATGCCACCATCTTCATCATCGTCATGTAGCTTGTTTATATACTAGCAGAAAATACTCCAAAAACCATTTGCATCGTACCCTTTAAACCCTTTAAACCCTCATCTCTGGTGCGAGAAGCTGCTAGGGTTTCGATTGGATTCCGGCGACCATAAACGAACATGTACAAAAGGGTTTTTGAGTATGAAGACCTCCATATCTAACGCTACATCTATGTGTGTTATGAGACTGAAGTCGATTCTAGAACCCTAAAATCAGAACTGAAATCGAATCTAGAACCCTAAAATCAGAACTCAAATTGATTCTACATCTCTGACGGATTTCCCATGTTGCTTCGCATGCATCTTCGTTGGTGAAGAGGTTGAGTCTTGTTCCGATTACGTGTTCGATTGCAAGCAAGACTGGTACATGTTTCCAAATTTTCTTCAACTTGCAAGATTTACTCCAAATTATTGATGTGTTATTTTTCTCTCCACTCTCCAGCGTATATAAATTGTTCAAATAACGCTTTGGTAATATGATCAGCTTAATTATAAGACTTGTTTGGTTACTTTAGAGTCTGAAATTGATTTTTGTCTTACAGTATGCATGCTCAGCATGGGATAAACTCAAGCATATTAGAGAAGCTTCTGACTTGTTGGTATAATTTTTTTTCAACTTACTTAAACATGAGTGGTTCTCCTTCCGTTTGATTCTCTACCCCAAAAAAGATTTCTTATTCTCTATCACATACTTTATATATGTGAGTTAATTAATCTGTTTCAATGGTTCATTATTCTATGTGTTGACCCAGTTGACCTTATTTATATACCCTCAGGCTATATATGAAAATAATATGGTATTCATTTTTATATACCCTCAGGCCATTGACGGAAAGAAATGGCAGCAACATGGTTTGGGGAAGGAATCGAGTTGCAGAGAGAGAGAGAGAGAGAGAGAGAGAGAGAGAGAGAGAGAGAGAGAGAGAGAGAGAGAGACCCATTAATATTAAATAATTATTATTTTTTTCTTTTTTTTAAATAAAGCAAATCTTCAAAAATAGTCCCTGGGTAGTGAAATGACAAAAATACCTTTTACTTAACAGCCAAAAGCTAACGCCTAACGGAGTTAGTGAAAATGACCATTTGTTAAAAGTTTTGAAACCACAAGGACCATCTGTGAGGTTTTTTGAACTTAAGGACTAAACTTGATATTTTCAAAAACCACAATGACCATTTTTGAAGTTTTGTCAAAAAAATTATTAAAAAAAATGATGGAAGTGTTTGAAACAAATGACCAAGAAAAATATAATTTTATAAAAATGATCATGACTTTTGCAGAGAGACTCTGCGGAAGTCCTTATGCTCTGAGAAACAAAAAAAAAATCTTTGAGGAAATGACGTGACGGGGAAAAAGATAAAAAAAATTTATAAAATTTTAATTCCGCAGAGGGTGCATCGTTCCACAGAGATGCCATCTACAGATCTGTTAATATCTATGAGGAATTGTTATTTGCTAATAACGATTTTGGTATTTGTTGTCTTCTAAATCTAACGAGGTATCAATATTTAGCACATATCATTGATTCAAAATAACATTTAAACTATAAAACTATGTTTCTATGAAATAGACTTAAAATTTAGCGAATAAATAAACCATGTTTAAGCGAAACATAATTCCTCAGAGGTACTCCTCTGAAGCATAGATCCGCAAAGGGCATCTCTATGGAACCATGTACCCTCCGTAAATCTCCTTTCTGTGGAAGTCGTGATCATTTTATAAAATTGTGTTTTTCATAGTCATTTGCTTGAAAGACTCTCATTCTTTTGGTTATTTGATGAAATTCTCATGGTAAAATTATCTCACATCTATCAATTAATTGTATGCTCAACAATTCTTTTCAACTTTAATCCTTTTGTTTAAAGCAATTAATACCAATTTTAATCCTAAACCTATTTTGAACCATTTCATAAACCTAAACTTAAACCATTTTTTAAAAACAAATTAAACCCACCCCATTCCAAACCAATTGTTTTAACTTTATTTTCTAAATCTAAACATCAATTTTTATTAGAACAAATTTATACTCACTGCCTTATTAGCTAGGTTTTAATAAAAAGAAAAAAAAGAGTTTATTTGTTTAAATTAAATCCATACCAACCCCATCTTCTCTTAAATTTTCGTCTATTGTAAAGAAAAAGAAAGAAACATTTTAAATGGCAAGTTGTTTTTGCTAGTCAATTCACTCCTAGAGGCTTAGACACATGACATTTCTTTTGGTTTTTAGTGTCACGTGCAAGCGAAAAGAAGAAATTTGCTGAAATTTTGTTAAAGCAAGACTAAACCCTATACTTACTTCCCATGCAAACATAGTATCAATTTGTATGTATATCTTCTACAACACCAATACTCATTTGTTTTCTTCTCCATACCCCCATGATGTTCATGAAAGCAAAAACAAGAAAACGAGGGGCTTCCAATTCATACAAGCCATCCCCCATCCCTATACATCTACCTCACACGTCTTTTTACCCCATGCAAAACCTACCAAGCTATATAAAACGGGAAATGTCAGATACATGATGGTGGTCTTTTCTCTTTTATACAACAACAAAAGATAAAACGGGAAATGTCATTATGAGTGATTGACTTTGTTCCTTCATCTTATAGGCAAGCAATGAAGAAATAAAAAGAAACAATGATTAGTTAATCTTCAACAACAAGCAAGTGGAATAATGGAGGAATAGTACTTGAGATATTTTTTTATCTTCTAAATGATCACATCAGCAAATGTTTTGATTCTATAAAAAGGAAGCAACGGACATACTAAAAAGAAATATGTCATCCACGTTTTTGTTTTTCTATAGTGTGTATGCTTATCTATTTTCACGTATTAAAAATACTTACTATAAGTAGAAGTTTTGTTAACACGTTGTCGCACGCGTATTAAGCAAATAAACTATCACTGTTGCTTGCACTAAAAATATAGCACAGGGAAGCAGGGTCGAATCCTCAGGGACACGGCCTAATGGTCAATGCCTTTTTGCATCAAGCACAATCTAGTCAAGACATAAATTATTAAAAGGGGGATTTGAATTAAACTAAAAACTAAAATTGCAGTGATATTAAACTAAACGAAAATCAATATAAAAAATGATTTCAGTTCTGCTGCGACTTTCCTAATCATGTAACTGATCTAGATCTGATTATTAGAGATGCGTTATATCTAAGCTGGTACTAAGAAAAACTAACAAGCTCTGGTAATTTCTCTTTTACCTAAATTAGTTAATCAAAACAGGCTCTTCAATTAACTCTAACTTTTTACTGTTCAAATAAACAAACTCTTAATTAAATCAGAAAAGCAGTTTTATGATCTGTGTAAAATTCCCAACAATACCCAATACTTCTCACAAGCTCGGAAGTGTAAAGATATGATTTTTCAGTTTATACCAGAGTTAAATCCCAAAACGGAACCAATCTTATGCTTGTTACTTTTACCAGTTGACAAGAACAATTACGGATTCTATTAACTGATTAATTGGAATGATAAAACCCTAGCTAGGTGATCAAACTAACAAGAATCAAAATCAAACATTCATTAAGCTCAAAACTGAAGAATCTGGATAGAAACACAAATCAAAAACCAGATCTAATGATCAATCACATGAAAAGTACTTGTCTTATGCAAAACTGAAAACTAAGGTTTAGCCAGACATGGCCAAAATCTGATAAAAATAGATGAAAAGAGACATCAAACAACTAATCTTACTAATCTACTTGAAGGAGATGATCCAAAGTCTTCAGATCTTCAGAAATTGATGAAATCAGAGAAGAAACGCCTCCAAAATCGTATTTTCATCGTCTGATACCTCTGGAATCGCCAACTTAGGTTACTGGAAGGCTATCAGGGTCTTTTTATACATCCAGCAGCAAAAACGGCGCACATGCGATCGCATGTACACAACCTGCGATCGCAGGTTTTGAAGTAAACACATCTGATGCCGTTTTAATGAATTAGGATGCTATTTTGACACTTTTTGGCCAACCTGTAGTCGAAAGGAGACAACCTGCGATCGCAGGTTTTGAGTTTTCACTTCCGGATGAATTTTGGGCACAAAAGAACCTCGAAGGCAACCTGCGATCAAACTTACAATCGCAAAAAGGTCACCTGCGATCGCAAGGAGACAAAATGGGATCGTAGGATGTGGCTATGACGTCCGAAATTTCATCTACTTTTCAGATCATTTTGAATCGCGTCAATCGGAGTTACGGTTCTCGAGATATGGTCAAAACATTGACAGGGGGTCAAAGCTGCCAGCAACATCCTTTAACTTTGATATATTGTATATTCTATCTTCGTGTGATCAATTCAATCGAATGTTTCTTGACCAAAGCACCTTGAAATCATTCCTCAACATACTCCATAAGTTTCAAGCTCCATTTTAATCTCCAAACGCGCATCCAACTGCTCCCAAAGCACTACT